ACTATATTTCAAACAAATAGTGTTTTCCTGTCAGTCTTTTTAACTGTCCACCTTCCATGGTGATCAGGAGTGAAAGAGTGTGGATGGTCTTGGTCTCCAGGGACACATGTTTACACCTGATTACCTTTTCTAGTTGTTGCCCTTCTGAGTCTCACTCTTCTGATTTCTTGGCTGTAGTCTCCATTTCGATTGATGATTGAACCAAGGTATATGAAATCTTGGACTATTTCTTTATAGTGAATGCTGTCCACCTTCCATGGTGATCAGGAGTGAAAGAGTGTGGATGGTCTTGGTCTCCAGGGACACATGTTTACACCTGATTACCTTTTCTAGTTGTTGCCCTTCTGAGTCTCACTCTTCTGATTTCTTGGCTGTAGTCTCCATTTCGATTGATGATTGAACCAAGGTATATGAAATCTTGGACTATTTCTTTATAGTGAATGTTAAAGTTATGTAGTTCTTCAGTAGTCATGAATTTTATCTTAAAATTCAACTGCAGTCTTACTTTGGCACTTTCTTCTTTCATTTTCACTAAAACTCCTTTCAAGTTACTGCAGCTTTCTGTTGCTAAGATGAAGTCATCTGCATAACTTAAATTACTGCATAACTTAAATTACTTAAATTTCACTTTATTTAATTTCACAGTTATGTAGTTCTTCAGTAGTCATGAATTTTATCTTAAAATTCAACTGCAGTCTTACTTTGGGACTTTCTTCTTTCATTTTCACTAAAACTCCTTTCAAGTTACTGCAGCTTTCTGTTGGTAAGATGAAGTCATCTGCATAACTTAAATTACTGCATAACTTAAATTACTTAAATTTCACTTCTGAATCTAGTCTGGCTTTCCATATGAAATGTTCTGCAAAGATATTGAATAGCCAAAGGGAGAAACCAACACCTTTGCCTATAGGAAACCATTCTGTCTCTCCATATTCTGTCCTGACGGTAGCTTCTTGTCCACAATACAGGTTGTATATCAGGACAATCAAGAGCTGAGGCACACCCATTTCTAACAACTCATAATTTCTCATGATTTGCACAGCCAAAGACTTTGCTATAGTCTCTCAAATATAGACTGATCTTCTGAAATTCTTTGGTGTGCTCCTGTATCAGCCAAAGACTTTGCTATAGTCTCTCAAACATAGACTTATCTTCTTCTGAGATTCTTTGGTGTGCTCCTGTATCAGTGGATATTTGCAATATGATCTTGAGTGACTCTTCATTTTTGGAATCCAGATTGAACATCATGCACTTCTTGCTCCATACAAGGTACAACTACAAGTCTTTGCTGTAACCAAAGGTCCCACTAAGTTGGGTGCATGCATGCATGTGCACAACTCAGGTTCCCTCTATGCAGCTGTCTTCCTCCTCCGCACAGCAATCACATTAGGTTCCAGTCACAACAGAACCCAGTGTGCAGAGGTTGGAGTCACATGCACACACAGAGGCGAAGCTGCACAAGAGAGAGGCAGACCCCCGCCCAGTAGGGCTGAAAATTAGAGGCTACATTGGCTGCAACACCTTAAGCATCACTTTGCTTACATAGAGAATTAAAACAGTGGTCCAATACTTAATGCACTACATGGCATCTCCTTTCCTAGGAACTGGAATGCATATTAAGCCTTGCCAGTCTGTGAGCCACTGTTTGGTTTTCCATATTCTTGACATTTTTTTTTTGTTAGAACTTTCATAGATACAGTTTCTGTGGCTTGAAATAGTTCTATTGGTATTCCATCTACCTCTGTGATTTATTTCTTCCTAGTGCTTTCAGAGTAGCTTTCACTTCACTTTCTAGAAATGCACATTCTTTGTCACAGGATTCCTATTCAAAGGACTCTGTCATCCTTTTATTTCTTCTGTATAGGTTTTCAGTGTACTGTTTCCACCTTCTCTTTATTTTCCCCGGATCAAACAGTGTGCTTTCTTGTCGGTCATTCAGCATTCTTAATCTCCGCTTAAATTTCCCTTTGACTTCTTGAATCTTTCTTTAACTCTTCTGGAAGAGTTATCTTGCCTTTCTCCTTTTGTTGTTGTGCTCTGTTTATTTGCACCGATTGTTAAAGTTGTTCTTTTTCATTATGTGACACTGAAAAAACTCACTGAAATGTCACTGAAAAGCTGCATTCAGGGTTCTGACTCTACTTCTGTTACCTTTTACTTTTGCTTCTGGCCTGTCCTTTACAATTTCAAATGTTTCTTCTGCCACCCGTCTAAGTTTTTCTTTTATTTTTACTACTGGGCTTGTCTTTTTTGTTTTGTTTTGTTACATTATTTCCTAATAATATGTCTGGTTTCAATCTACAGTTCTTCTGGTTCAGACAATTGAGTTTAGTAATGAAAATTGCTTTCTTACGTAATCTTTAAATTAATCAGGAATGTTATTAAATTATTTTTGGCACTATGATACTTTTAGCATTCTTTTTCATCTTTACTCTAGTATTCGATAGCAGTTCATTATCAGTACCACAATCTGTTCCTGGCTTTGTTTGGGCAGAGAAAATACAGCTTCTTTATTTCCTGCTTCCAATTACATTATTTGGTTTCAATATTGAACATCTGATGATGCCCACAGGTACAGCAATTTGTACAGTTGTTTGAAATATGTATTTGTAATCAACAGACTGTTGGCTTCACATAATTTTATCAATCGTTCTCTTGTTTCATTTCTGTCCCCTAGGCCAAATTTTCCAGCAATTTGTTTCCTACCTTTGCGTTCTGGTCACCTATGATTATAAGTATGCCTTGTTTTGGTGTGTGATATTTCCTCCTGCATGCTTGAATAAAAGCTTTCAATTTCAACTTCTGCAGCATCCATAGTTGGAGCATAGACTTGAATGATGGTTATTTTGATAGGTTTTCCACAGAGTCTGGTTAATATTATTTGGTATAATCCCTAACTACCTGTGTTACATCTTCTCTCAGTAGTAGAACTAGTCCATTTCTTCTGTGTTTGTCATTTCGAGAGTAGAACACTTTGTAACTGTCTGACAATATCCTGTTCCAGGTCATTTTACTGTAGTTCATTGACACCAAGAACTGCAATGTTTCTTGCTTTATGGTTTCTAGTTTACTTTGATTCATACTTCTTACCTTCCATGTTCCAGTTGTATGTGTTGAACAGCAATTGACTCTCCTTTCACTTCTGTGCATGCTTGCTATTAGACATCTTTTTGGCTTTAATCTAGTTGCATTGTTAGTGACAGAGCTATTTGTACTTGTCATTTGTTCTTGCTCAGTAGCTGACTGAGTGTTTTCTGACCTGAGAGTGTCATCTTTGAGTACTATCTTGTTTCATCCAGGCCTGTCTCATCATAGGGTTTTCATGGTAAGGAATGTTCAGCAGGGGTTTACCACTCCTACCTACTGCTGTCTGTTGTTTAGTTACACCCATATTGAAAACTATTAGTTTATTTGTACCCTGTACCTCCCATTTTCTCACAAATTACTTAACTATATAACATGTGGTGCTGGAGGAGACTCTTGGGATTCCCCTGGACTGCAAAGACAACAGACCTATCCATTTTGAAAGAAATCAACCCTGAGTGCTCACTGGAAGGACAGATCCTGAAACAGAGGCTATAATACTTTGGCCATCTCATGAGAAGAGAAGACTCCCTGGAAAAGACCTTGATGTTGGGAAAATGTGAAAGCAAGAGGAGAAGGGGACAACAGAGGACAAGATGGTTGGACAGTGTCACTGAAGCTACCAACATAAATTTGACTCAACTCCGGAAGGCAGTGGAAGACAGGAGGGCTTGGAGTGCTCTGGTCCATGGGGTCACGAAGAGTCAGACACGACTTAATGACTAAACAACAACAACATAACATGAAGACCTATATACTTGCAGACACACTCATTTCTAAAAGTTTGGTGAAACAAGACATCCCATCACAGAAACAGCATAAATTCTTCTTTACTAAGTTTCATTCTTGCATATTTTTATTTAATGTTGGTTCCTATGCATTTACCTGGGACAGAGGTTTGGCTGCAAGGTATGTTTGTGAGAATGTAAACATCTGGGAGGCAAACAGTCTGTAGAACTCAAACAGAAATGCAGGGCTTGGTGGCTTTGGTTCATGAAAGCAGGTCACCCCAGGGTCAAGTAGGACAGCAGGAAAAAGATGGAAAGTGATGAGAAATGTGATGTATGAATGGCAGTATCAAGTCTATAAAATGATTGTGACTATATGAACAATTTGCCTTATGCCACAAGAGACTCCTAGACTCTTGTCACTCTGTGCCTCTAATTACAATTACAGTTACTGTACGTATCTGTGTTAGGACAGTCTATTTTGTTTGAGTTTTATTTTCTAACATGTTATTACTGGATTCCTTCTGCTAATTTCCAGGTATGATATTCTATGGATTCTATTCAATCAGTGGAAACAATACAGGCATGTTCCATACACCCAGCAGTCAGTATCACAACAGCATAACAAATAAAAGCTAATGTAACAACACATAAGTCTCAGAAAATTTGTCATAACTATGATAATACATAATAATTATTTCTGAGCTTCCTCAGCTTCCTGTTGTCTGTTTATCAGCAATGGAAGATCCTAAGCCAATCCACATGCCATCTACATGTGTACAACATATCCCACAATCATTTCTACTTTTGAGATTATTATTTGTGGAAATGTGCAAACCTACCTTGCTATTTGGAAGGTATCAGCATTTTCCCGTTCTACACAAAAAGAGACCATTTTGTTCTTCAACAGGGTAAATGATGTAGCCAGACAAAACCAACATAAAATGAGAAACAAAAATAATACACATAAACATTGTGGCACCTTAAAAACTAACTTTTATTTTCCAGTTTAAGTTTTTGTGGATAAATCCACTTTCTCAGACATATTAGGTAAATGACACTATCAGCAAGCATACAGCTGTATACTGCCAGTTTTTATAATAATTGTGTCTATCTTTTCAACCTGCTCTGATCCCTGTATTTCTCACACACTGACAAACATTGTGTTTCTTGCCTTTTTCCCCCCAGGACAAACCAACTGAGACCAGCACTATGGTAGAGGAGTCCACAATGCCATCTGTGACACAGCTAGCAGGAAAATTCCAAGAACAGTCATCTCTTTCTGGAAAAGAGGTTAGGTACAATTCAGTCACAAAAGGAAGACAAATTGAGTGGCAGTCCATCGATCTGTACATTTTCATAGATCAAAATGTAAATGATATTAAATCCATGTATGCTTCTGATCTACTGATCGCATAAAGACATTGTATATGCTTGCATTTCTAGTTTGTTTGCATTGTGGGTAACAAACATTTGAGAAAGTTTGTGACCCACAGTTTGATTTCCTTTTGTGCTGAATGCTATTGACACCAAAGATTAATGAAGACTAGGGTGTATGATATCTTTACCAGACTGTGGAAATATTGCAAACACACACTATCAACTCCACAGAGGTCTTCATCAAGCTAGACATTACAGAAATGGGGATAGAGCAGAACAAACATGAACGTCCCAAAGTCCATGGTCAGATGTGTGGGCCAGGTTTGGTTTCAATATAAGGTGGGTGATGGCCAGATGTGTGGGCCAGGTTTCCTTGTGTTTCAATATAAGGTGGGTGGATGTATGCTGAGTTACTGGCAGCCCTTTTTTCTAACAAGTCTGGAAGAGACTATCTGATCTGCACCCAGAGGTGAAATCTGAAACCCATCCCCTCCGAGCTCATTCTGCAGCTCCCATTTTGGAACTGGATTTGAATCTCCAACTCTGCAGTACCCAGCCTGATAGACACTTATGTACTGTAGAATGGAAAGCTAGCTTCTACTTGTGATGTATAATATGTAATATTATTATATATTTGTGAATGGGTTTTTCTACCTTTGGGGGCAACCCTTCATCTTCGGTGGAAAATAACTTTCAAACTTTCATCTTTATTAACACTTACCTCCTCTAGCACATTACTTATGGGGTCAAAAACTCTTAATTCTGGCAACAGGCCACAACTAACCGAACTGAAATTCTTGCCACAGTCCCATGGACTCAACAGGGATGTCCCCCACGCCATTCCCTGTAGTCCAGTCTTGGGGGAGGAGTACCTTGGAGGGCACAGATCATCCCGCAACATGCATGCCTTATCCAGCCTCTTTCGTCCAGTTTGTCATAAAACCAGTTGTGAACTATCTCCATTTCTCTTTGTAATTCCAACTCACGTGGCACTACTGTACTATCACAGTCCATTCCCTTGTCATGTATCGCTTCGGTTTTGGCTCTCCAGGAGTGGGCTCAGGCAGCAATCCACCCACCTTTAGTTTAGGAAAGCCCTTTATCAGTCCTTGAGCCCTTATCCTCTCGAACTCCTTCCTTCAGGTTCCAGTTCTCTTTCTCTCATAGTCTGCTACCACTGAACTGAACCAGCGCACCCCTTCCTCATTTATATCTTCCTCCCTTCTTGCTCTGCCCCCTTTCCCCCTTTTCCCTCTTCTGCTAAACAAACCTCTGTCTGTCCTGCCTTTTCTTTTAATTCTATTTCTCCCGTCCTCATTTATATCTTCCTCCCAAACTGTCCCTTCTTGCTCCACCCCCTTTCCCCCTTCTGCTAAACAAACCTCTGTCTTTCCCGCCTTTTCTTTTAATTCTATTTCTCCCACCTCTTTCGTAACTGTCACCCCTTCGTCTTTTTGTTCTACCCCCTTTTTCTCCTCTCCTCCTCCTTCTATGGGCTCTGTTATCATGGACAGCTCACTTGTACACTCTGCTCCTTCACAATATTTAAACATTTATAACCCCTGCTATATCATTGGATATCAGTGTGGGTTTAGAAGATTAATAAAGACTTCAGCATCAGTGAACAAAAGTGAGGCAGTGTATGTAAAGGGAATGCCTTCATTAGTGCTAATCTTTTTCTTTTCTTTTTCTCCTCTTTTAACAAACTCAGAGTAATGTGAATTTCATATTAAGTACTGGAAATAAAGTGATTTGTGTCATTGGAAAATGAAGGGGTTGGCTTTTTTTTTGGTTCATTTACAAATATCTGGGTTGTTCCATCACTGCTGCCCCATCCAATTTCTAAGGAAACTGTCCAGTTTATTCAGAGGTCTAAATGAATCTCCATCTATTCCATTCTCAGAGGGACTCAGCTGTGATTATCAAGTTGTTCCCTTTGTTCACTGGATTGACAGTCTCATATGGGTGGAGGGATGGGAAAAGGAAAAGTCTGATTCCTAAATGGTACCCTCCTTCTAGGCAAGTCTAGACTGCTGAAAGCAACCTCTGTAACAAAGGAAAGGTTCTTACTTCTTGTTACCATTGTGTGCCACTCAAGTCACCTACTTGAGTGATCTCCAAAATGTCCTATCCATGTCATTCACATTTGGTCTTCCTCTTTTCCTGTTGCTTTCAACCTTACCTAGCATCATTGTATTTTCTAGTGATTCTCATCTTCTCATGAACACAAGTATTGCATTTTTCATGCCCAAAATACAACACCCTCAGTTTCCTTATTTTTACTTCAAGAGATAGTTCAGGCTTGATTTGCTTGAATACCCACTTGTTTATCTTTCTGGCAATCTAGGATATTCACAAAGCTCTCCTCCAACATTGTATTTCAAATGAATCAGTGATTTGCCTGTCGTCTTTCTTCACTGTCCAGCTTTCATAACCATACATGGTACTGTAGTTGGGAATACAATTGTGTAGATGAATGTGGCCTTGGTCTCCAATGTCATATCTTTTCACTTGAGAATCTTTTTTACTTCCTTCCTCTTCCCCCCAAGTCTCACCTTCTTCTGATTTCATGGCTGCAGTTTCCTTCTGGATTGATGACTGAACCAAGATATACAAAATCTTCAACTATTTCAATTTTTCCATTGTCATTATTTTCAATAATGTCCTTACTGCACTTTGCCAAAACTGTTGATATCATATCCAATAGTCCTTACTGGTTCATTGAGTTTGGCATATCACATATCCACAATAATCAGTTCTGAGATGAAGATAACTAGTGACTCCAGTTTCAGTCCAGTCCCAGTTTCAAAGCACTCCATGTCCTGGTAAAATGCAGTTACTGCATGCTTCGTCCAAGGGAACAGTGACTCAGTGTGTTAAATAATGAGGAACCACTGCAGTAGATCTAATTACTATGATTAGCATTTATTGTGTTTCATGAAAATATGAAATTGAAGAGTAGATAAATCATATTAAAACCAGATTGTTTTCATTAACCACTCAGTGGCATTTTGTTATCTGATGGAGTCAATTTGCTCTCTAGAGTATGTAGCCAATATAAAGGAGGAATGGTGCTTTCACCAGTGATACTAAAAATATCTTGAGGTGACTAGTTTGCTGTATTTGAAGCAATATAGCAATTTAGGCAATAAAGTGGAAGGAGAAGGGTACAACAGAGGATGAGATGGTTGGACAGTGTCATCAAAACTACCAACATGAATTTGACCAAAATCCTGGAGGCAGTGGAAGACAGGAGGGCCTGGTGTGCTCTGGTCCATGGAGTCATGAAGAGTCAGACATGACTTAACGACTAAACAACAACACAAACCACTATTCTAAAATTATGTGTGATCCATTTAACATGGGTTCTTCATTCAGTTTTACAGATGCAGGAAATGCAAACACAATTTTTAATAATCATTTGTGAAGTTGCCATCACTTATTGTGTCTTCTTGCAACTACCGTGAATGTTACTGAGTCTCCTGAAATTTGTTGCATACCTTACAAACAACTAAGCAGAGGACATTCTGTAGATTGACATTACTCTCAACTACTTCTTTGGATACTTTCAAACCATTCATGCATAATACTCTGAATAATCAATGTCATGTTTTGGTTCCTTTATTTGATATTGAGGTGGATTCCTGATCTCAGCACATGAGACATTTTTCATTTAATCAGCTATTAGATGATAATAACAATCTATTAGAGCACAAGATGCTTTTGATCTAGTCAGCTATTTATAATGAAGTCAGAAATATGTTGTTGCAAGAAAGCTTCCCCCTTTCTAATATCAAGAACTAGACATGTCTGTGAAGTTAGTGCTAGTTATTCAGTTTCAAACTAATGAAAAGAACCTTCTGTTATTGTACCAAGATCAGGATTGAATTTTGGACAGTCAGAATGGCCACATCACTATCAGGTACATATGAGGGTACTATATTATTTCCTGCTGATACAATCAAAAGTGGGTGAGGGTTTAAAAAGAATGGCAAAAGCAGGGGATTCTAGAAAAGGAAGGTTACAGATCTTTGCAAAGGTGCAGTAAATTCTCAAGAACTCCTCCACCATTAGTTCTTTTCTGACCACCAACATTGTATTCTTCTTCTTAAAATATTCTTTCTCTTCTGTCAATGTGATGAGTTTCTCTCTTTTTCAGACATCAGCTGTTAAGCCAATCCGTAGAAAGCCACCATGTTCCCTTCCCCTCAACATACACAAGGCAGAGCCTGGACAGAATGGTGAGCTAGTAAGTATCAACATTTTGAGAAATTCGTTATTTTCTTATGTGAGTAGACAATTATGCTAAAGAGCTAAAGAACAAATGATATGGAGGTTAATGTAAATAATTGTAAAAAGCTGTCTGGTTGAAATAACATACTAACTTCAGTAGTCTGTGTACTTCTTGTGTTACCTTACAGCTTATGCCATCCTTTAGTAATTTTCTCGTTACAGTGTGCAATACCACTCTTGGGTGTTAAAACAAGAATATGAACAGTCTGTGGCTTCCTTTTAATTCTAGGAATTCCATCTACACCAACCACCGGTATTTCTGAGCCATTGCTTGAAGTGTAAATATACCTATATGCTACTAGGGAAAACAAGATCTTTTCCTGCCTGTTCAACTGAAAGCAAGATCTCTTGCTTCCTTTTCAGTTCATGTCATGCCTGAGTTGGGATGGGAATGGTGACAGCAGAATAGCTTTGGGAAGAAATGGGTAGAAGTGCCTCTTTGTTGGATATGTTGTGAACTTACATATGCTGCTAGGATGAGTATCAGTCTCTTTAGATGTTTTGAATGGATTCTAAATTAAGATCTAGAAGGATGAGAAAACCACAAAGTCACACATCTCTAGGATCAACCCAGTTATTCTAGAATACGTTTGCTGTGCAAATCAATATCAGCATAATTGATTAAAATGGGAATCTAGTCATCAAGAAAAACACAAATATCTTTGATTATTGCAACAAAATATATTAGCCAGTTAGAGGATGAAGAGACAGAGCATTATAAGAGGTATCATATCATCTTACGTTAGTTTAGTAAGATGAATAGTTGTTGGAATATCAGGATCTGATGCATTCTGCAAGGCTGGTGTACTAAAGAGGAAAATCTGAAATGTTTCCATTTGTCTGAAATTTCTGTGTTTGTAAAAGCTGGGGATAAAGATGTCTACAGATGATACTGTGTAAAATTGGATATTAAATACAATGATCAAAAGGAAAAATAGTACTAATCATTTTAAAAATTGTTATAATTCTTATGAGAGATGAGTTTGGGTGCACAGAACTCATGCATAAAATGATGAAGTCACATGCACCCTGAAATTGCCAAGTTAAGCCTGTAATCAGTAGTGATGTTCAACTGCTGATGACATCATTGCTGTTGCACAAATAGAACTGTGTAACAGAATTTTAGCCAGTATGTTACTGTTCATGTCAAGACTACATCTCTGAAAAAAAAGATGCAAAAATAATGCTAAGAGCATCAACATTTATAAAGCCAACACTGTTCTTCTGCCTTTCTTAAACAACTAGGGCGGAAGACATTATTACACTTATATTCTGTAGTGGCCCTTGTCCTTAGCATATGTCACTAATAAGTAGCTTACATTCAGATATAGAATGACATGTATCAGTGTGCATGCGTGCACACCTCCGCTTCTTTAGCTGGGTTGAATAAATAAATAAATAAATAAATAAATAAATAAATAAATAAATAAATAAATAAATAAATAAATAAATAAATAAATGATATCATCACCGTGGGGAGGGGGGCGATGATAACTTCCTCAATGGCTCAAGGGGGCATTTCTTTCAAAAAGGTTAAGAACCACTGGTCTAAGACAGTGGTCTCCAACCTTGGGCCTCCAGATGTTCTTGGACTTCAACTCCCAGAAATCCTGGCCAGCAAAGGTGGTGGTGAAGGCTTCTGGGAGTTGTAGTTCAAGAACATCTGGAGGCCCAAGGTTGGGGACCACTGGTCTAAGAGACACAATTTACAGTGACAAAAATCTAAATACCACCATAAGTGGTGAACATATGATAAGATACGCAACTTAGCATTTCCTGCTATTTAATTATCTGTCCCTGAATGAATACACAGCAAAAAAAGTGAATTCACTTGCAGTAGAGAGAGTGGGTTTTCCTGAATCTGTTTGAATTAACTGACCACACATGTAGGGGAGGAAATCAGCTAAACAGCCTTGTTTGCAGCTTGTTAATGCAGCTCTCTTATACCCCTGCAGGAGGCACAGCTACTAATAAGTGGAAAACAAAGACATAGTGCTGATTTCTTCTTCTTTTTTCCTTTCCTTCTTCTCCAATACTTTTTGTTTTGCTTCAGCTGTCTAAGTGCCCTAGTGCAACAGTGCTGCATCCAAACTGTTTTTTTTTTAAAGGGAAAAAACAATGGAGAGCAAGGAATCATTTTCTGCCATGGGTCAGGCAATCACACTGCCTGAACCAATGCAAATGGAACCAAAGTTTAAAAAATAGAAGTCTCAGCAGTTGGAAACAAGAACTAAGGATGCAGCTGGAGGGGGGAGAACTCCAGGCTGATTCACATTTCTTTTTACATCATGTGATCAACAGAAAATAATGTGAATTGGCCCATCTCAATACTGGAGCATTTCCCACAGTTTTTACCAATGTGACCACATCCTGAGTCTGCCTAAATTTTAGACTTCTGGTATATAAGTAGGGTCAGTAATTTTTAGACAAAGAAAAAATGGTTGGTGGATATTGAGGAATATTTGGATCAGATCTAGAATCAGATGTAGCAGATATTGCCACAGGTGACAGCCTAAGCCAGAAGGATAGGTTGGTTGACCAATTGTTCGTGTAAAATACAAGTAGTGGAGAACAAATCATAAGGTACAGCTTCAAAATACTGTACAATAAAAGCAGTGGAATGTCTATTCTCTTTTTTGGCTGTTGACACCAAAGCTTCTTTGAAAAACCTAAGTAGTTGGATGCATTTCTCTCAAATGTCTCAGTGGAAACCAACACTTGACATATTCCCATCTGCTGCCCAAGTATGGGAGATGGAGGAGGATGAATACAAAAGCTATGGAAACAAAACCCACAAAAAATCTGTAGTATCTTAAAAACTAATAAATAATGGCATAAATTTTCATAGTCTAGAGTCCACTTCCTCAGTTACACGAACTGTTGTCCTAATTTGGTAATTATGTATGCACAAAGCTGGGTAAAAGTGTGGGTGAGTGTTCAATTAACAATAAATATTTTCATAAACCTGAATAGCACTCTTCAATTCCAACATTTTCTTAACCCCTTCTCTAGCTATCTATTTACAACTCCCCACACTTCCTACACAAGAGACTGACAGAAGCTGTGATATTCTAGGGAAATCTGTAGGGAGAGTAAACTATAAGGAGAAACTGTCAGAGAGATAGACAGAGGGAATGTGAGGCTAAGGGCAAATGAAATGAGCAAGGTGAGAAATAAAGAAATCAGGTTAAAGCTTAAATGTATCTAAAATACGCACAGTGACCATTCAGAAGGCAGTGTGGGTGAGAAACGTGGATGTGTGAGCTCATAAGAATGATGGTTTCCTTATAGGAGTGAGGGAGCATTAAAAGATATGGTGAAAGTTAAAGGTTCCCCTTGACAATTTTTGTCCAGTCATGTTTGACTCTAGGGGGCGGTGCTCATCCCCGTTTCCAAGCCATGGAGCCAGCATTTTGTCCGAAGACAATCTTCCGTGGTCACATGGCCAGTGCAACTTAGACACGGAATGCTGTTACCTTCCCACCGAGGTGGTCCCTATTGATCTACTTGCATTTGCATGCTTTCGAACCGCTAGGTTGGCGGGAGCTGGGACAAACAACGGGCATTCACTCTGTCGCGTGGATTCAATCTTAGGACTGCTGGTCTTCTGTCCCTGCAGCACAGGCTTCTGCGGTTTAGCCTGCAGCGCCACCATGGGGCAAACCACAATTGCTACAGCTTCTTAAATAAAGAGCCAAATTGGTCCTTCCAGCTAACAGAGATCAGCAAAGGCTGTGCATTCCAGAAAGCTCACTGCTAAGTCATCTCTGGTGCTTTTGTCCAGGCCACTTGACCTAACATGGCATGGAAGAAGCTACATGGACAAGATCTCCTAATTATTTTTCCTCTCTTTGTGTCTGCTTTCACGAAACTTCTTCCCACTTTATATATAAATTCCAGACCAGTCTGTTTTGCCTGTGGTTGCCAGATCAGCAACATTATACTCCCTGAGATTTCAGAGCCAAAGTCTGAAGCCAGAGGCAAGCCCTTGTGATTCCCTAGGGGATGTGGGCCCTTAGGATGTCACAAAGTCGAGTCCTTTCATGACAATTGCGAAACTGGTGTGTGAGATAGCCAATATAGACACTCTGTGACAAATGTAAAGGCTAGCAAATGAATTCCTTTAGCTACAACAATTCCAGAGCATGCAAGCTAGTGAAAAGACAAAGATACTGGATAGTTCGGTGGTTTAGGTCTCTGGCTGCTGGGAGTTTGACCCATGGATCCTAAACCTAGGATTGCCTGGTTGGAAGTATCCCAGCCTCAGAGATTTCCATTCCAAACCCCAAGTCATGGGGAATGGAGTCAAAAACCTAAGTCTCCGGACAATCCTATTTCCCCCATTTTTCTTTTAGAGAAGTCATCAGCTGTTGAATGTTAACACTCCTGACAAAGTCATGCTGTTGAGATAAACTTTCCCTTTGGTTTTCTTAACCTACTATATTCTGAGCCTTGATTTGAAAGTATATCCAAAACCCAAGAGAAAACCACAGGGCAAGTTGTCATCTTCAGTTGCATTTTTTTTGAGTTAGCTCCAGTTCCACTCCCATGCTGCAATGACTGCCCTTGCTCACTTACTAGTAAACAGCTTGCCTGCCCATCCATACAATAGCAGGGAGTGGTGCTGCCCATGTGATGTGCCTCTCTTAACTTCGAGTACAGGTGCCACAGAGAAGTACAGGCACTCGGGCCGTGTGGTCTGGCCAGTACTGCCAGCAGGCTCACTTCCCACTGACCCTGCTGGCTTGGCAAACAGCTACTGCAGGAAAGGCAGCTTGATGACAGTAGTCTTCAGAATTCCCATCATGCACTGACTGACATCCTCTCAGTCCTCACTATCCCACAGTCAGGGCTTGGAAAAGTTACTTTCAGTGGGGAACAGCTCTCAGAATCCCCCAGCCAATATGAGGGATGGTGCAGACTATACGAGGTGAGAAAGGGTCCTGTTTTAATGGTCAAACACTTTCAGGAGTAAATAATTTCCCTCTGAGTGATCTGCATTGTGTATTTTGGCCAACTGTTCACTGGTTGAAGGAGCAAAGGAAGGTGTTATTGTTGAGGTCCCCTTTTAAATATTTCCAGTTAATTTCTTTTTTTCTGGTTTTAGTTCTTCCCATCCCTCCAGAGGCCAGCCTTTATGAGTAGCAACTGTCTGCTTCAACAGTTTCTTATTTGTCTTTCCACAGAAGCCATCTTCAAGTGCTTCTCATTCTGTAAAGGTAAAGGTCAAAAGCTCTCCCCTGATTGAAAAACTGCAGGTAAGATCTTATGGTAACTCTGTTGAACCTTTGCTTCCCCAGAAGTAAGATCCATTGAACTCAGTGAGTTTTACTTGAAGTTTTAACACTCATATATAAAGCCCTTCACAGCTTGGGGCCATATTACCTACCGGAGTGTCTTTCCCCAATGTCATCTGTCTGACTCACCAGATCTTCACAGGCCAGGCTCCCTCATGTAGCCACCCTGAGATAAATCCAAAAGTCATTTACTAGAGGCAGGGTCTTCTCTGTAGTGGCACTGATGCTCTGGAATAAGCTTCAGGAGGAGCTTCAACTGGCTTCTTTTCCAGTACTCATTTAGGAAGCAGTTGAAAACATTACTTTTCAAGGAGGCCTTTCACTCAACCCTGGGTGAATGTTTTGCCTCCAATCTGCTTTATTGTGAAAACTTGTTCTGGTGCCATTTTTGTTTTATGTTGTTGCTATTTGTGCAGTAATTCAGTGTTTACTGTTTTTTACTCTCGTTTTAACTGCTTGTAAACCACCTAGAATAGTGCTCCGGTACTACTGGAACAGTATATAAAGTAACAAATAAATTAATAGATTTACTTCTAAGTAGACATGTATAGGAATGCATTTCTACATAAGTAGTCTTTTACAGTCAGTGCAGTTCATATCCAGAGCTGCCTAGACAGTTCAGTGAGTTAGATATCTGGCTGTAGAACCAGAGGTTAAGAGTCAATTCCCCACTATGCATCTTAGAAGAGTGAACCTGTGTGGCCTTGGGCAAGCTGCATAATCCAAAGATGCCCCCGGAAGAAGGGAATGATCCAGCGTTTTAACCACTGCACCACGAGGCTCATGCATCCTAGAAGAGTGAACCTGTGTGGCCTTGGGCAAGCTGCATAATCCAAAGATGCCCCCAGAAGAAGGGAATGATCAACTACTTCTGAGTAGTCTTACCTAGAAAACCTTGAAAAGGGTTGCCATAAGTCAGAATTGACTTGACAGCACACAATTATTATTATAATGCTTAGACTTTTAATAATACATATATATAATTTTTTAAAGCTAGGATAGTACTTCAAGGTGAGAGTGTCTTTTCTGTCCTAGTTAATGCCACTGGGGTTGTAAACTTGCTCTTGGTGTTCCCTCACAAACGCATGCTAGGATTCCAGCAATATGAGCTCCCTCATATCAGTATCCAGTTAATGTCATCCAGGGCTTTGAGCTGCATCAGCTTAATGGCTGCATTATCTGGGGATTTAGATGTGAACTTTTCTCCTGGAGTATTTTCTGTTGCGACATGGAGCGAATGTGAGGAAGACTATACAGCTTGGGAAGCTTAGAACACTTTGTAGATATGGTTGGGTACAGAGATTTAAATGTAGTATTATGGCTTTGTTCTCAGCCTCTCCCATGCCAAGCTGCTGGAGATCTGGGCTCAGATGCTGGGAAATCCAGACAGCTTTAGCTGACACGTGAATAGTCTTTGAATCCAGCTGTTTCGAAAGAGCGAATGTTCTGTCATCTCTTCTTTTCCCTGCATTATGCGTTAACAAGTGCTACAACAAGACGTGTCAACTGGTGAAAGACATTTAAATCCAGACAGCTTTAGCTGACACGTGAATAGTCTTTGAATCCAGCTGTTTCGAAAGAGCAAATGTTCTGTCATCTCTTCTTTTCCCTGCATTATGCGTTAACAAGTGCCACAACAAGACATGTCAACTGGTGAAAGACATTAAGGGCAAGGGCTCCCTCCTGTGGTGAACAGTAAGGGCAGAAATATCCAGATGGCCAGAAGATCATCATGGAAGCTTTAAATGAAAGGTTTAACAGGATGCTGAAGGGTAGTTTTTACACAAAGGACCAAGTGTCAGTGACTTACAGGTCATGAGGCATGTGCGTCAAAGGAAAAAGTATGTGGAGTCTTCAACAAAGTGTTGCAGTATTGAATGTTCCTGTTGATAATTCTAGCTAGTTGACCGTCTTCCAGGATAATCAATGTTATTCTCTCATACCCCACACATTGGTTCTTCTCATGGAGCATCTATAATTTTAAAGGGAGACTTAAATGCCCATATTGGTCCAAATGAAGAGTGTATTATGAGGAATCTTAGTATTGTAATTGGCAATCTGTGTCTTCACATCCAAATGCAGGAAGGGAATCAAAGGACACAATGATCAATGACTATGGCAAAGCTTTGTATAGCATAATTATGAAATACAATTTCTACATTCTTAATGGAAATCACCCTAATGATAAACCGGGTAATCTAACTTTATTTGCTAGTTGGGGAGGAAGTGTCATTGAGTACATAATGAACTCCTCTGACTTGATAACTTATATAAATGATTTAAAAGTAATCCATCACCCAGAAAGTGACCATTTTCCTATCTATCTATCTCTATTGGTGGCTTATAAGGTGTACCCACCACAGGAAGAAAATACTAAGAATATCATTAGCTTTAATCTTCTTAAAAGAATTAGATGGTCAGCTCAAGTAGAACACCAATTGCTGAGAATACTTTATGATAAAAAAGGTCTTCAGCTATGTAGTAAATTTACTTAGAAATCAGAACACAAAGACATAGTCACACAGTTTCCTGAAGTGCTACAGATATTAGAGCCTCTGTTTCCCAAGAAAATAACATGCTTACAGAAATCCATCTTCTCTGAGTGGTTTGACAGGGAATGTAAACTGGTCAAATTGAAATTACAAGCAGCTGCAAGAATAGCTCGCAAAACACAAGCTCCCAGATTAATCTTTAATTACTGCAAATTACGAAGGAATTATAAGTATCTTCTAAAGCAGAAAAAGTCATTATACATTTGCTCACAATGGAAAGAACTACTAATGGCAGCACAAAACAAAGACTCTCAGCAATTTTAGATAAAATATAGATTTATGTGCCCACAGACACAAATACATGCATTTGGGTATTCAATGTTCCAAGGTGGGTAGTGAAGCTGCTAGTAAAGTTATGTGTGTGTGTTTGTGTGTAACAAAGACTCTCAGCAATTTTAGATAAAATATAGATTTATGTGCCCACAGACACAAATAAATGCATTTGGGTATTCAACGTTCCAAGGTGGGTAGTGAAGTTGCTAGTAAAATTATGTGTGTGTTTGTGTGCGCATGCCTTCTTTTAGGTTCCCCTAAGTTTACTAATAATGCCTTCATCTGCATGGGTGGTACTTTTTTTAAACTAGAGAAGAAAATTCACTATATATGTGATTTGGTTGATGGATCCTCTAAGTAAAGAAATTTAGGGATCTCTTCATAGAGGTATTATTAAATGGGTATAACATTCCAAACAATCTTTGGTGATATGTGCAATTACAGCAAAAAAGCAACATTTTAAATCTTGGGTAGAAGGGGGAAAATAACAATTACTCTTCTCTTCATAGAGGTATTATTAAATGGGTATAGCATTCCAAACAATCTTTGGTGATATGTGCAATTACATTTTAAATCTTGGGTAGAAGGGGGGAAATAATGACTTTTTTCTTTCCTTTCCTTTTTTCTTTTTCTAGGCCAATCTGGCGTTTGCTCCAACAGCTCTGCTGCCAGGAATGTCTCCCAAGAGTCCTGGCCTAAAAGTCATGGTTTCTCCCTTTAACAGCCCACCCTCTACTCCCCTCACCCCACAGTCTCATTCAAGTGAACCAGATAAGACTCCAGTTAGTTTTGATCAACCTCCAGAAGGCAGTCATCTCCAGTTTTATAACAAGGTACAAACTGCATATTAGGCTTTTTCTGCATAGAAAACCATATCATTATTAGGGGCAGGAGGGAAAACGTTACTAGGAAAATATAAAGAAAAAAAGAGGGATTATCATTTGGAACAATTAAATCTAAATATGAGATTATAAATTGCTCTTATAAATGTTTTTCAAAGCGATCCAAAGGAATCTAGGACAAATGACAATTTAAAGAAAAAATGAGAATGCATGAGACCTCGAGGTATCCTTACATATGTATAACTGGTAAAATCGTTTCTAATAATCTTTCAAGAGATTGGTTGCATTTGAAGTTGGAGAGGTGGGCGATGCTAAAGAAAGAATATGAGATGCATTTGAAGTTGGAGAGGTGGGCGATGTTAAAGAAAGAATATGAGATTTGAATTATATGTGGTGCTGGATATTTTCCTGGTTTCTTCTCCTAAAATTTGGTGCGTCTTATGGAAAGGTACGTCTTATGGAGCGAAAAATACGGTATATGTGGTGCTCTTCCTCAAAGAATGTTACCACCAGAAATATACACTTAGCCACATTGTTTCATCTGCCACTCTCTCTGTACACAGAGAGAAAACAGTCTCTTCATTGTCAGCAGCCTTATAAGAGAGAAAATAATGCCTTATTTGCTTGATGTAAAGGATGACTAATGTATGCTTATCTATCTAGGCACGGATATCTAGATGATTTCACAAATTTTGTAAGATTACTATAGTCTCTCTAGTCCATGGATTCAGTGACAGCTTCTTCTACTTTCAGGTACGGACACGAGGATCAATAAAACGCAGACCACCTTCTAGAAGATTTCGGAGGTCACAATCAGAATATGATGACCTAGATTCAGCCATGGCACTTTCACCTCAAGAAAATGGTGCTAAGGATGATAATGAGGTGGAGAGTGTTTTTATGGACAGTAGTAAGGCTACAGATGGCACAGGTTGCTGTGAGAAAGAAATCCAGATAACATCTGATAAAAAATCCCCCTCAGATCTGGAATCCAGTCAGACAGAAAGCAAAGATAGTGAAGCAGGAGAAACAGGTAAAGGGACCGTATACAAAGACAGCCAAGAAGAGAAGCCACACCAGAGCCGTTCAGAGTTAAAGCCATGCAAGCAGAATAAGGAAGAAAATGAGAAGAGTCCCGCTCTTGACACTGTGGTGGATATACATGCTGCTAATCAGGAAAATGAAGGAAAGAGAGAGAATGAATTACATGGAGGTGAAGGCACACAACAATTGCCAAATATAAAAGAAAATGGGACTCCCCAACAGGGAAGAGACACTGAAACTCTTGAGAACTCCAGAGTGTGATGCCCCTGTAATTGTTGCACATATCATAAACAAGCAGCCAAGGTTAGCATGGAGTTTCCAACGCAGTGCTTGCTTATGAATGAGCAAAAGCTCCTCCCTCATTGAAAATTCCAAAGAAACCAGTGTTCTCCTTTTTCTTTGGCAGTTCTTAGGCTTGTACTTGTAGCAAATCTATGCTCGAAGATGGCCTTATTTGTAAAAGGCTGTTTAGGCTTGTGACATACCAAAATTCTGCCATGTTGATTTAAAGAACACAAAAATTGGGGAGATTTTCTCAACATTTTTCAAATGGAAAGAACTATGTGTGTTACTTACGTTTTCTGATTAAAGTTGAAATTTCCAAACCTCTTGTGGCCTGTCAGCTGTAACTGTGCTGCATGCATATGAATTAGATGGTCACCCACAGAACCACACAAAAGAAACTCTTCTGATTTACTTAGCGACAATATGGAATAATATGCATGTGTGGTAAGGGCAAATCCCATAATAGCTATACCCTTATTCTCCAGCTTTTCTAAGTTTACTGATAATCACAAAGGGACACAGTGCAGTGGATGTTTCACAAATGTTATATTCATTTGAGCCTTGTCTTTGATTTATGTGATTTTCTCAATGGTAATTGCATGGAATCAGAAAGTGGAGAAGCAGCATTTAAAGCATGAATGAGTCTTTTGACCATTATAGGCTTTTAAATTTTGTTTTCTTTACAGACTGAACTGAAGTGAGAGCTGTTTTTTAACCATGTTTCAGAGCATCGTGTACCCTGCAAACCTATATGGGTTCATGTGGCTAATTCTTATTACTGCTGGAATATGCAGCCTCACATTTTGGGAATGTAGAACTTAACACAAAGCCAGACCACCAGTCCATTGAACTTGTCCATATCAGCCTTCCAAAGCTCAGTACCCTCCATACCTGTTGGACTACAACTATGATCATCCCAGCTGGACAGAAATGACTATGTTGGCTATAGCTGGTGGATTCAAAGTGTACAACAGTTGGAGTGTACTGGACTGGTGACAGCTGGTCTATATTAACAGCAATTCTCCAAGTTGTGAGATGGGGCTTTTCATAGCTTTGTCTCAAGATACCAAGAATGGAACTCTTGGCTTCAATATGCAAAATACATGCTACATTACTGGAGCTTTGATCCCTCTTTGATCCATAGTTCTGCTCCTTTGTTGGACGCATATCCTTATAAGGATGTCAGTTCCATATTCATCACAGGAAGTAATGGCTGACATACCAAATGGCAACATGGGAGAGAAATTCAGTGAGTAACAACTCACAAACAGTTAAACTTGCTGTTCATTTATGTGTTTCTGAACTCTATACATTTCTGCTTTCTGGGATTCAAGATGAAAAAGCGTATTGACGTATATAGGTAATATAGGAATTGATTTATATAAGCTTTATATAGATAAGCACCTTCCTTACTAAAAGAACCAGATTGTCTTCTCTTCTTTGCCTATTGCTACTGTAAAAGATTTACAACAAACACAAAGTCAGAAGTTGGATGAATTTCACTTGAAAATAATGATAGTACAGTGTAGTTTATTGCTGCAGGCAACAGCCCATAATATTTTCCAGTGGACTAGCAGTTACAGCGTGGATTGTAAAGGGCTCCTCCAGGCAAAAGCAGATTAGTTGCACACTGCTAGTTCAAAATATTGAAATCAAAACAGAAGTGCAGCTGGTAGTAAATAGAAAGGGATATCATGCTGCATAACATTTGCACATAATGTAGTAATCTGTATAGGTTCCTCTGATCAAGGCACTTCAATAGTGGTCAGCTAGATTCTCTTGTGAATCTTTGGATCAAAACATAATGGAGACTGTAGTTTCTTGTTCATCCAAGACACTGGTAATCAAATATATACTGTTTCTATTTCAGGGTTCTATTCTGGTTATTGCAGTTAATAATAACTGAAAAATCTATGATGTACAAATGTTTAAGTATACCAGTGTTCATTAAGTGTTGTTTCTTTTGTTTGCTAGTCCACATTTAGCATTTCTAGATAACAATAATCTTTCTGCCTTTGTTCTACCCTTATCATACATAAAAATCTAAGAATATAATTATCATATGTAAAAATGAACAATGTAATTCATGTGGATGACCCCTTGTTTTATTCTTGGCTCTTCTAACATAGCAATGGATGGACCAAATGAACTGATTTTATACATAGTAAATGCTTATCTATCTAGGCATGATATATATATATCGTACTCAAAATGTAGATGTATTTCTGACTATGCTGCTGGCAAAGTCAGAGCATAGTGTACTCTTCTGTGGCAACCATCTGCCTTAATGAGGTTTTTGGTCAGCCTGTCAATGTCCTTTGTGTTTCAAAGTCAAGATACCCTTTCCTTGGTTTATTGCAAAAACTGGGGTACAGAGATTTACTCAGCATTTCAAATCTTACCCTTAAAGGCATGCCAGAAGATGTGCCCACTTACTTCCTTATAGGGCCACACTCCAGTTTTGTTATTGGGCTAAACTCCTTTACCCTTAATTTCTCCTAAGGCTAATCCATGAGGCCTTGGACAGTAAATTTATCCATGGCAACTAACTTTTCGCATGTTACACAGTCATTGTTTTATAGAAAAAGGTAAGATCAATCTAATCTCAGAGGTATTCTTAAGGAGTGATGGATTCCAACAGGACCAAGGGCAAATAAGTGGAACCAAAAATACCACCATATGTTAGCTTTAAGCTTTTCTTCCAATACCTGAGCTTCATAAGAGGCATTTCAATCTTTTAAAATGAAGAAGCTTTATACAAACCTGGGGACCCACCAGGTAAGGATCTAATAGGGAAAGGGCATGGTGTTCTGCAGTACCCCAAAGGACTGGATTCAGTTCCACAGCCTGAGATTGTGCACCCAGCATAGACATGTCAATGGAGTTAATCAGCTAATCTCAACATTGCCTTGTGATAGTGCTACTGTTGGTCCACACATAAGTATCTGTTGGATACTTTATAATTTTTATTTATTTATAAATGAATGAATGAATGAATGAATGAATGAATGAATGAATGAATGAATGAATGAATGAGTGAATGACAATAATCCTATCTTCCTGTTATACATTTTGTGGTTTTAAATATAAACAAGAATTTATTGTTGTTCTTGTTGCTGTTTAGAAAATAGTGTACATTAATGTATTCTCGAAGGTTTTCACGGCTGGGATCTGATGGTTGTTGTGGGTTTTTAGGGCTTTTTGGCCATGTACATTAAGCTATTTGACTACATAGCCTGAACATAACATGTTTCAATTGCTGTGTTGCATTGGCTGGTGGATATTTGAAACAAGAAGCACATAACACTTTAATCTTAATTACTGATGGTTAAAATGTTGTGAAAAATAGACAAGCATATCAATACAGTATATATGCCAAGAGTTTACCACGAAAAAACAGTTTTCCTCCCTTTGGTCAGCCACACCCTCACTTTCTTTAATAAATGGAGAATGGAGGGGCTTGGGGTGGCTTATGCACATACTTTTTCTGAATCGCAGGGGTCAAACTAGACTACATCTGGGGGTGACTTCCAATTCTACAATTTCATGATTCTACCAAATCTTAAATACAAAGTTATGATTTGTGACTTTTTTTGCTTAGGTGCAAGATGCACAATATGAGTATCCTATAATGTATTGTAATGCATTTTAAATACCTCCCCAACTATCAGTCCCTTGATCACATGGCAAGCCATCTTTAAAATTCAGCAAACTCTTTAAAGCCTCAGAGAATCATGGTGGAATCTTGATTTTCACAAAATACGTCTTCCATTCTCATTCATTAATTCATTCAATTATTCATTCATTCATTTCAGGTATTTATTTCGGATTTGGAATATAAAATAAAACCCATAGAAGTTTATTTTTAAAAAGCTGTCTAGGCATGCAAGTTCATTGCAATTAACTTGGCAGTTTGTGTTGGAATTGGCATACTTAAAATCAAGATAATTACCAGTGACTATACAACGTAAACTTACTGGTAAACACCAATAAGGAAGCACTTTTCCTGGGCAATTGTTTCTTTTTATTCAGACAGCAGGAGGTGGTTTATTCTGTACCAATTTAGCTGGCATCCCCTTTCTCCACATGGGTAATCATCACCTGTCTTGATCCAAAGCACAAGTTCATGCACGTCCCCTGTGACACTGCAGTGATGTCCTCAGTGTGGCCAAGTATTCCAGTGGGATAACTCCCCTAAATTGAACATCTGTTGTCTCCTCTCCCCTCATCTGAACAATTTTTCTATTTTTAATTATGCTTGTCAAGTTAAGTGCTATGTCAGATATGCATTATGTCACTTTGCCAAAAGAGGGTGGAATTGTGCGGGAACTGATTGGAAATGCAATGTGTACTCTTTCAATGGAATAATTAATTGTTATCAGTGTGGAGAATTGTTATGATTTCAGCAATGAAATCTACCAGGGACCTGGTTCAAAAAACGTGGAAGCAAATTTAAAAATCAAAACAAAAATTCATTATCTTCTAATGTTATGCTAATGAATAGGATCCTTCTTAAATGTAAATAGCAGACAATATATTCTGATTTTTTACAGTGAATGGTACTAAGTAACTTACCTTTTCTTGAATATTTTATACAGAATAAGCCAATTGTATTTGTTTTACCTCAGATCCCATGGATCTGGGAAGATACAGCTCAAAGCACTAATTGCCTGTAGTTTGAGCAAGGGGTATACATGCCCAATTCCAGCAGCAGAGAATGAACCACTCACTCACTGGTTGGACTATGAGTCACTCGCCAAAAGATCCTCACAGCCTATAAAGATCAGGGAATACAACAAGGAAAATGTTCTTATTATACATAAAATACTATATATAAGATACTGCACCATCTTCAGTTACACTGAGTTACATTTTAAAATAAACAGCCCCTCTTAGGTGGAAACTAACAAAAAGTACTTGCTCAACTTAAAGTTTCAGACAGTTGGTGACATGTTTGAAGAATATTGTCTGTATGATGGCAAGATAAGCCTAGAGGAGACACTTCACAGTGATTGATTGATTGATTGATTGATTGATTGATTGATTCAATTTTTACCCCGCCCCTCTAGACAGCGTCTACTCGGGGCAGCTTACATAGGTTAAAACACATCAAAAAATATATAAAATACAATTCTTGCAATTAATTTTAAACAACACATTTCCAAGATGGCAGAACTCAAGAAGAGGGAGAAAAAAAATCACTTAATTGGATGGAGGGAAGACCTGTTTAAATAAACAAGTTTTTAACTGGCTTTTGAAAACGCCCAGCGAGGGTGCCAGCTGAATTTCAGTAGGGAGAGTGTTCCACAGCCGATGGGCCACCGC